TTCGTCTCACTGCATTATCACGCTTCCCCGGGAAATCAAAGGAAGAGATCGCAGCTATCAAGATTCAGACAGCATTTAGAGGATATATGGTACTTTGTTTTCATCACTTTTCCATGCCTAGTAACTATGCCAATGGAACAAGTTTATGCATTTTTGTTACCTTTTCTAGGCAAGAAGAGCATTGCGCGCGTTGAGAGGCCTCGTGAGGCTAAGATCTTTAATCCAAGGGAAACGTGTGAGACGTCAAGCTACATCTACATTGGAAAGCATGCAAACACTAGCTAGATTACAGTATCAGATTCGTGACAGGAGGCTTCAATTGTCCGAGGATAAGCAGGCTTGTGTGCGACAGCTCCAACAGAAACACAATAAATATGTTGATAAGGTAAGTAAATCCTCACACTTTAGCTTTTTCTTGATCTTGGAATATTGAGAAATTCACATTTTGATTTTGTTACAAACTTGATGGTTGTATTACATTTTGTGAAATAGATTGGAGAAAACTGGAATGATAGCACATTGTCGCGGGAGAAAGTTGAAGCAAACATTTTGAATAGACAAGTAGCCACAATGAGAAGAGAAAAAGCACTCGCATACGCATACACTCATCAGGTATCGAACTAGTTCTCTATCTTACTCTTAATGCCTTTAGACCAGAAGAAGATGAATCTCAAAATGGTGAAAACTGTTAAATATGCAGAATACGTGGAAAAATTCATCTAAATTGAGTTCTCAAACATTCATGGACCCGAACAACCCACATTGGGGTTGGAGTTGGCTAGAACGTTGGATGGCTTCTCGACCAAACGAAAACCAGTCAACTACCCCAGACAATGCTGACAAAAACTCTTCTGTGAAGAGTGTAGCAAGCCGTGCCATGTCTGAGATTGGTCCACGTATCAAAAACCTTTCACCAAAAGGAAAGACACCAAATAGTCGAAGAGGTTCAAGCCCGAGAGTGAGGCAAGTCCCACCAAGTGGTGATGAAGACTCAAGGAGCAGCATCCAATCAGAACAACCTTGCAACCGTAGGCATAGCATTTGTGGGTCAATTGCATCCACTAGAGACGATGATAGCTTAACCAGCATTCGCTCTCAGTCAGTTCCAGGATACATGGCGCCTACACAAGCCGCCAAAGCAAGAGCACGTTTCTCAAACCTTAGTCCTATAGGCTCAGAGAAAACAGCGAAAAAACGGCTTTCCTTCTCGGGATCTCCCAAGACTGTAAGGCGGTTTTCCGGTCCTCCGAAGCTGGAAAGCAATGGTACTAATAAAGATACTGGACTTGCCTAAGCAGGAGAAATTTTCAGAAGAATGGATATAGTTTATATCTGACATTGTTGAGTAGGTGAAGTCTGGAACAGAGGTGAATTCAGAGAAGATGTACTGTGTCTTGATTTGTTTTTGGGGTTTATTTTTTGCTACAAACTTACTTATTTGATTTTTTGATTGGTTAACATTTTGATTGTTCTTGTAACTTTCTACTGATGAGGAGACAAATAAAATCAAGATTGATGATTTGCAAAATAATTCTCAAGTAGTATTGATTATTACAGCAACAAGTATGTGTTTTTTTTTCACTCCAAGAACAAAAATGTGAACATATCACATACAAATTGCCATAAAGATTTTTTTTTTGCTATAGCCC